AAGAAAACCCTTCACACCAAGAAGATCCACCCTTGGAAACCAGTGCCACTGAACTGCCCAGTCCTCCGGAAGAACCCACTGTCTCAGCTCCTTCACGATCTCCGAACAAACCTTCAGCTCCAGAAACTGAACAGAAAAAGACGGTGATCGAGATGCGCTCCAGTTCCGTGTGGGACACCAGCCAAAACAGCACTCGCTCGCCAATCTACGACCTGAAGTTCGACCCCATGAGGCCTTCCGCGTTCCAGATTCTGAAGTCCCAGCTGCGCCAAGTTCCTCTCCCTGCCACTTGTCCCTGGCCCCCCGAGGATGTCCTCCTTTGGTGGCACAACCCGCCTGATGTGAAGCGCAGCGATGGCAAACTCGAAAGACTGAAGGAGCTCTTTTTGTTCCACCGCAACGGCGCCGTTCTTCGGAGACGGGAAGATTGGTTCTTCGCCGCCTCCGAGGCGTCGAAGGACCCGGAGCTCTCCGCCCGCGCCGTTCGGGTCGCTCGCAGGTACATTTTCGAGGGCCGCTACGCGGTGGCGCCGGCCGAGCGGCGGGTGACGGTCACCAGGGATCGAGTTGCTTTGGCCTCCGGCACCGGAGCCGCCGCCCCCGCAGAGGTGCGCTTCAATCGGTGGGGGGGGTTGGGTGGTGGTGGTGAGGAAGGCTTTGACCTGGAAGAGCTGTCCGAACGGTCGAAGAGGCCGGGCGCGAAGCCGATGGCCTGGCCGGATCAAGAGCTGTCGGAAGAGACGTTGAAGGATTTGGAAGAGGACTGGAAGGAGGATGGGCCTTGGAATCCGGAGAATCTATGGTTCTTTACCGCGGACCTGGGTTGACCACATCGTGGACATGTATACATCGGATCTCAAAACCAAATATAGTTTCACGGTCTTTTCGATGCCTGAATTGAGTCGCTGCAGCGCAAAGGCGTAGCAGCTAGTGGATCAGGTCCAGCACGTTCACCAGCCAACAGCATGGGTTTCAGGAGGACATGCAGTTATAAGACATAGTGCAATAAGACATTGTGTGGCCTGATTAATTTGTTATCCTTTTCCTCATTGTTTGGGACGGCTGGGGATGTGCGTCAGCTCGCTTGCATGGAGTGGAGAAGAAGTTCGCTTCCAGATGGGTCAGCTGATGAAGATGCATTTGATCATGGAACTTGCAGCTTCCCTTCATGACTCATAATGATTTCTGACGTGCTCGCTCAAGCATCCGCGGCTTTAGCGTGTGACTTGTTTGTCGAGTTGCGTGGCTCTTCATGCTAGTCCGTGGCAGTAACTGAAATCCAAACAGCTGAATAGAATTTGTCATTTGACTATAGCTCGGGAACATCGCATTTTAAGCATGGACTTGATGGTCGCCATAATTGCAGGTCCCATTGTTTAAGCTCCATGAAGTGTGCCAAGTAAAGTCACCACTAGTCATGCATAGGACTGACAATGGCCGGTGGACAAACAGTATTCTTGCTTCCGCATCATCATCCAATCATTGACAACCTTGAGGGAGAGTTCCTGACTCCGACTCCGCCCAGAGAATCACACCTGCCCCTGGCTATATTTGCGCCACCTGCCATGACGGGGCGCATTTCTTGGCGCTGGCGGGCCAGTGACTGCCGGGATGAAGCTCGGCTGAAGGATTGCCTAATGGGGAGGTAGGGTAGTGGCAGTGGCTTAGCAGATTGATCATCCTAAAGAAGATGGGTCAATTGCAGAGATCGACACAAAGGCGGTAGTTAAGTCTACTGTATGCTTGCTTTGGTTGATGTTTCTTGTGCTTGTTGCCATGGACATTTGACCCGAAAACTGAGTTTGTCGCCTAAAACTTGGCTTCGATTCGATGGCAACATGGTTGTCATCATGGTGTTGACTGTCGACCGGCATCGCTTGTGGAGCCATGGGGTCGTTCATGTTTGCCCAGAAGCGAAGTCGAAGAGCTGGAAGGAGCATTGATTAATTGGATCAATGCTTACCCCTTGGTGAAAAATCCCCGACACCTAATCAGCTACAGAGCCGACACCTATAGCATACTCATTCATTGTTTCTTTTGCTCACCATGGCAGGGGATTGAACTATGCGTGGACATACCGTAATACCGGGTTCCGGTTCTTCATCAACAAACAGCCATCATCATCACAAGCAGTTTTCCACGTCACGTTTCCGAACCCGTGCACCCCCAACTTCAATGTTGTCGCGTGAAGTTCGGTATCGGCAGCCTTCGGAGAAGAAAACAACAACATCCATTCAGGTCAGTTCATGTCAGAAGCCCAATCAGCAACATTGAAATAGGGGGATAGGGGGATTCAAGATCCTTATGAACTCTTTCTGAATGGCTTGTATTTTTGAAGAACCCGGTATGTGGCCTGACCTTTTTTGCCGTTGCTGATTATCGCTGATTGCATTTTGTTGCCAAGGTTGCCCCGATGCAGATGTGGAGGAGTTTGATGACCTAGCAGATGGCGCCATTCTAGCAGTCCCACGACGATGCTCAAGTAGGACTCAGTTAAAGCTGCTAGCAGTCCTAGGGCCAGTCAACAAGGAGGAGGCTGGCAAGAATAATCTCGTTGATTCGTGTTTGCGTGCTTGTCACCAATTCAGAATACTAAACGGTCTATAGAGTCTAGGGTTGTCAGCACGTTGGGGGCAACCGGTGCGGCTCAGCCCAGGATGTGCTGCAGCTTTATGCGCCTGAGGTGGATCCGAACAGTGCTGCAGGTGGGTGATGGGTTGCCGACAACGCCGATGCTGGCTGCGGTGGAGACCCCTCCGAACGAGTCTCCTAGTCTTGGAGATTTGCCCATGTGTTCAATGACTGTTTGGCCTGTATGACTGCCCCACTATGGCAGAATCAGAACAGTTTTTCAAGGAGTCCTGCCAGCGCAAACGCCCAGGAAGCTGCTGTGCAAGCCATCATGAATCTGAATGAGACGCTCAGATGAATAGATGAGCCAAGGATGCTTATTTTCCAGCGCCGCGAAGGTCCAAGTTCCCAATGCAGCCCATGGATGTTCGAAAATGTCTCAGGTTCAGATGTGGATATAGTATCCAGGGAATCCAGGGCATATGATGCTTCCCAATTCTTCAGTTACCTCCTCATATGCGGGTTTGATCTCCCAAGGCCCAAGCAGATGGCACTGGGAGCCGCGTTGCAACAGCTCATGGCCCTTTCTGAGGCGTAGGAGCGCCGCTTGTCCGCCTTTGCCCTCCAGACAGGGGCGGATTGTTGGGTGGGTGGAAGGCTAGATGACAAGCTGAGAAGCCTCTGAACCTTAGGAAGGTCATTTAGTGCAATGCACACGAACCTGATGTATTTTGCAGGTCTTTGTGAACATGTATGTAGTCCACATATGTCATATGTCCATATTATATATCATTATAATTCATTATATGTATATATCTATATATTTTACAAATAGAGAGAATATATACATATATATATATAGAGAGAGAGACAGATTGAGAGAGGGAGTTTTCACTTGAGAAGAACATGGTTCCGTACAATAGGGACCCCCTTCCGAACGCCATCGGCTCAGGCCACGCGGAGCCAAAGGTGGATGCCTCTGGGGAGTCGAGCCCGCCCACGCCGCGGACGCCGCGGGAGATGACGGACGCTTGGTGGCTGGAGGAGTGAGCTTCTGTGCTGGTCCATCCCCCACCGATTTGGATTTGAAGGGTTCCAACAGCAGAAGGCTGACGGACTTTGTCAGATGTTTCACACAAACAGGTGGGACTTTCATGGACCCTCCCAGACCTTGCAAAGTCCGGGGTGCCGCAGGGACACTGCTTTGGAGCTGGGCTGAGGCATACGTATCCGTGACAGACTTTCTCCAGGATGAAATCCAGACCGGGCATGAGATCATGCACAGGGAGATCCCACATGTTTTTGTGAAGCTACGTCGAAGCTGATATACATATATGATATAATGTGTATATATATATACATACACTATACGCATATGATATAGATTGTATAGTAGCACCACATAGGCAGGGGTGGTTATTGGATGGAAAAGACCTAGGAACAGTTTTGGTGGGCCAAGGACCTTGTTTGGGTGGTGGGTTCAATCTATACAGATCACTCATAGTAGAGTCTTCTGCCCAGATGACGAAGGAGTTCACGGATCTCTTGCGAGGCAAATGACAGATGAAGCACTGTGGTCCTGTGGTCAGAACAACCGCAATTCATAATTCATAGGTCGTGGTTTCCGCGGTTGGCGGATGATGTTCGAGTTTTCCTTCACTGGGTGACTCCCCTGAAAACTGCGAAACTCGTCCTATTTGTTTCCCCAACAAGCATATCCACGTTTCACACCAATACTGGTGCCCAGGTCGCTCATGAACGCGGACTTGCACTGACCTCCACCGGCCGCCGGCATCCGGCATCGAAAGCGCAGCGGAGGACCAGTCCGTGCAGAACCGTGCAGACGGAAAAATGAGAAGAGTCCGCTGCTTTTTTACATGTCATGTTCCAAGTGAAAAAAGCGTTTGCCGGGCAAAAACTGTTTGATTTGGGACTTTTTATATTCTTTCTGGCTGGGCAGAGATGAGTGACGATCTATCCGTTACAGTACTTAGTTTTTGGTCATCCATCTTTGCGACGTCGTTGTGTTGAACTGAGTCGATAGATTGTTTGTTTTTGTTTTTTGTTTTTAAATCACCACCAAAGAAGGTTCACTGGAGATAGCAGCGTATATACTATGAAGATCTATGAAGCTATAGTGTCTTCATGTGTCTTCCATTGTGACCATCCAACTGGTGCTTTAGCTTCAACGACTGAGAACTGGACACATTCCAGCTAACTTGCCAGTTGCTGGTACCCTTCAATTTCATATACTTATATATAATACAACAATCTCTATATAATTGTATATCTATACATGTACACATATATCTATATAGATATTTGTTTACATATTAGGTAAGATGCCCCTAAGCTCACCTGTCTTCCCTATCTCCTCCGCTCGCTCATCGCGCTGCCCTGACCTACGCGGCCGCTGCCCGACCTGCGAGGTCTGCGTGACCTGCGCCTCGCCGGTGCTGGCGCCCGAGGACTTCGCGCCTTTCTTCGGAGCTGCTTGGGCAGAGGTTCACAGCGGGGAGTAGTAAGTCGTAGAGCAACCCGGTGGAGGTGAAGGGGAGGTGAAGCCCGGAGAGATGATTCTGAGAACTGATGCTGAACTGATGGTTTTTTGTTGCACCGAATGGTTTGCACATGGAGAAGTGTCTTGTACTTCATGAATCTGGATGGAATGAAAAGAAACTGAACTCCCTTCATTTTCCGGAGATAGACTTTATGAAGACCTTAAGACCCTTTTTTGCTGCGAGAGACCCCTCCAACAAGCTCGGTTCACTTGAAAAATGCCTTGAGCACAACGGCTCGTGATTTTCTCCAAGGATTGGATCATGAAGGCCTGTGCAGAGATGAGCCTCGAAGAAAAGGTTTTTGAGCGGATTCATTGGGATTCGCGTGGGCGCTGCGCGCACGCGCAGCATCTGAAAGAAGGTTCTTTGGGTCGAGTGGGAGTGACTGAGGAGGTGCATGAAGCAGACAATTCAAAAGACATCAATGTCGACAGCACATACGACATCAACATCACGTCGACTGGACACAACCAGCAACGTAAAATCACACTCCTCAACATGACAAAAGTTGGCCATTCCTTCTGGGTCGCTGCGGTCGCGTGGAAAAGTGGCGGTCGAACATGACTTGGGGTTTTGACATCGACTGGATCCCTCTGAGTCGACCGTCGTGCGATCGTGAGCTTGCTACGGAAGAAGATGTGGACTGGTCTTCCGACCGGAATCGGAAATCGGTGCAGGTCGCGGCCTCAAAAAGTAATGCTGGATTCAAATCCGATGAATTGAATCGAGCAAAGATGCCTGAAGGCATCCAGGGGGTTTTGGAATCAACTGCAAAAAGTGCCTTGAATCCTGGATTCATACCAGCTGAAATGCTGGCAGAGATTGCAGAGGCAGAGAGCTGTGGGCTGCCTGAAAAGAGCTCACCGAACATGACGACCACCACGTCTTCCGCGCGGTGACCATCAGGTTTGGACGCACACACCATCTCGCACCCAAGATGTGGTAGACCTGGATGATTCGCATGGCTAATATATAGATATATAGATTGTTTTATATAATACATATATATTTATTTTGTTTTCCTCTGTGATCCCAAGATTCTTTTGGAAGTTGGACTTGCTGCGACATTTGGGTGAATCAGGAAGCTGAGCTGTATCTCCTCTCGCCCACAGCTGGGGCCGGAGCTGCCGAAGGCCATCAGAAGCGAGCGGATTTCCACTCCGTCGTCCCAGACGCGAGCGAGACAAGCCTGGATGTAACTCCACAGTTGCTAACCACGTACTAGTTAAGTGATTGATCTTAAGGCATGACATATTGGAACATATTTTGGAACAACCATTTGTTTCTGGTTGTTTCAGTCTTTTTTCTGGCAGGTGAGTGGAGGCTGGTGTGACTGTGGCTTGCGTCTGTAGCATTGTGTAGCATTGTGTAGCAGGGTCACTACCATTACAAACTGGCTGCTTGGTTTCGAAGTCACTCATGACCAACGTGTCTTCCACCTGCATGGAGTCTCTCTCTCTATATATATATATACATACACATACACCCTGGCATTCCAATTCCAACCACCATTGTTTTACTGGTCTTTCCCAAACAACAATTGCTTTGCTGAGGATTCTAGATAACAAAATCATCAACCATTCTTTTATATAATTGTCTTTGAAGACGAACGGGTATAGGTGCCATAATGCTACATCGTCCAAATGAGGTACATGCATAAGAAAAAGGCCGAAGCACCGGCTTCTCCGCCACACAACGCCATTTTCGCGCACGCCAACCACACGTGCACCATGCGTCTACACCCGCGTTGTCGCAGGCGGGCTCGCGCTTGGAGAGGCAACTGAGGGCGGCGATTTTGAACAGCAAAGTCGCAGCACCTGGGCGTGAGGTTGCCGTGGGCGGCGGAATAGGTGCCGAGGGCGGGGTTTCAAGGTGCGGAAAAGGGAAGGAAACCAAAAGCTATGAGTGATGAGGGGAGGGTGTAAGGGGGGTTTCCAAAGGATGCTTCCGAAGTGGAATCTTGTGAGCGTTCCAAAATGAGACTTTGGATCGAAGAACCACGGCTTGGCCTTGTTCCCTGAAAGGTGGTGCTTTGCTTGGGTGGAAGCGCATTTGCAGTCGCATTTGCCATGGTCGTTTGATGTCTTTGGTGGCATATTGTTTGATATGTTTTTTGTGTGTATTTTTATCATGAGAACGTGCTGATATGGTGATTGTATAGCCTGTATAGCTGTGTAGCCAGCATTCTGTCGTTTCTCGCGCCCTACACCGGGTGGTGACCATGCGTAGATCCCCAGAAGATCACATGAAACAGAGGAGATGGAGGGATCTGACATGATTTGGAGGTTTCAGACATGTTCTCTCAACATATCTAGACCATTTGTTCTAGATGACATGTCTGAACGTGTGTTCAGACCTCCACATCAGAGGTTCTAAAGACATGTTCTAGATGTTCAGACACACATCACACCAGGCACCAAGTCTAGAATCACATCTTCTCTCATCACGACCTGCCAACCTGCCAGCCTGCTTCGGAGAGAAACTCGCCCGAAACGTGGGGCTGGTGGGGTGAGGTTTGTATCCTCAACATGACCAAAGGCTGCGAGATGCCGCCCCCCGGCATCAAGGCCGGGATGCGAGGACAAGAGCCAGAGACCGCCTGACTCACCTTCCCCATTGGAGTTGAAGAAGGAGTACGGAAATCAGCAGCACTGGTTCACCAACTCGACCCAGCCCACCCCAGCAGAGACTACCCCATGAAGCATCTAGGTCTTGATCTACTCCCTGCTTGCAGCATCTTGCATCTCTCTCCTTGAAATATCACGAGCAACCTCAGAAGGGTAAACCCCTCGATTGGACGCCCTGCCCCTTCGCTGAATTCCCTGCAAAAGGCCGAGGTCACTTGGGCATCCCAACGGAACATACCAGTGGCTGCTGGGTCGCAAGGAGGGAAGTGATGGTCCTCTTCCCGACGAAATGAATTGAGTTGGACCATTTCCTGCGCGGATGCAACTCCATGCATCCAAATTTTTGCATCGCTTTGAGGGGTTGACAGGTTTTTGCCTCCAGTCCTTTTGTAGTTGATAGAAACAATTGATATTGGCCACAGAGATTTAGCTCATGGCTCATTAGGAAGTTGAGGCCCCAAAACCTATGTACTTCACCGCAGGCACCTCACACCGGCCCAAAGGTGTTGCATGGTTGCATGGTGTTGACACTCCAAGAGAAGTGAACGGCCACACAAGACTGTTGATGACCGCTAGAATCATGGTTAGGTCACCTGGTGCTTTTGACATTGATGGCTTTGAATAAACAAGCACTAAGCAATCTTGATAGCGCCTGATTATGATTTCGATTCAAGGACCCCTGACTCCCGCTGACTTCCGCTGAGAAGAATTGCGTGCTGAGGAGATGCTGATAATGCACATCTTTTTAGATTGCAATTTCAGCATAGCTAATATGCATCAGAGAGATCACTGTTGCAACTGCTGGCATACCAAATCCAGGCAATTCGCGCGCAGTCACTGAATGGCGTTCTTTGTTGATTTGTTTTTCTATATCCAGCAAGAAGAGAACCTTGTTCGGCATGGTGGCCTCAACATCGACCACAGTCCCACAACCCGATAATCTTTCCATAAAGCCCGTTTTGAACCACTCCCACATCGTTTTGCAGCCTGGTATGATCGAGGTCCCCTTCTACGATGCCGACCGCTATGACTGGAAGGAGGCAACAAACACCATTATGAGCCAGTTGTCCGTCGAAGGGTGTGGGTGGGAAGAACATCGCGAGGTATAGTTGGCCAAACCTTGGGTAAACTAGACAGAAACGATGTGCAAGACATGTTCGAAAGGGGCTGTCACTTTGGGGTGTCCAGTGAGTGGTCCAGCTTTGAAACCAGAAAGACATGGTGGCACTTTTCGATTTGGACTTCTCAAGATATTCATGCATAAAATCTGATGAGGAGGACAACTAAACCACTGGATGCTGTTTGAGTGGTTTTTTCGAACTCTCCAACTCGAAGGTTGCTTTCTCAGACCAGCAGGCAGTCAGCGAGGCTGTGACTCTTTCCTGGGCAGGATTGAAAAGGATTCCTTCATGGAGCCAGGCTAGGAATTGACTCCGGCTAGTCAAGGAGAACTAGTTTTTGTGGGTGAACATCAGTGGTGAAAGCACATGGTTTTCCAAGGATTGGGTTAAGTTGCGTCCTTTCTCCTCCCTTTCAGAAGAACCCAGTCTACGACCAGAACATACAAGAACTGCTCAAGGACAAGCTACCTAGAGCAGTCCTCTGGTCTACATCTTGCATGACCGCCAAATATACATACGTCTCGCAGTTCTCCGGAATTTCAACATGCACATACATCGAATGCGATCAGTCGGACCGTCCCTGGCCTTCTTGGGGCGCTCGATTCGAGCCCAACCAACTGGTGGGGGTCGGCGTGTCGGCCTCCCCCAAACTGGAGCGATCGGGTGCCAGGCGGCCACGTGGAAGGTGGAGATACCCATCTGCTTCCGCTGGGGCTTGGGCCCGGTTCGCTACAAGCGACAAGCGCACGAGGAGGCCGTGTTGGGCACGACGGAAGCACCTGTTTTTTTGCGGCAAGTGGCTCTTTGTTTGGCCATGGAAGCTGCCTGGAGAGGTCACTGTCACTATCCCAACCCTCCGTTCACCATCCGACCAGTCCCTCGAAAAGGGTCCCAGGTATTGGCACATGTTGGAAGCAGAGTTTGCACTGTGTTGAGTCCAGGAAGAAAGGTTGAAGTTGAGGGTTACGAAGCAGTATCTCAACATATTGAAATATATTTGAATTGTATGTTGAATTCACCAGCGATTGAAACTCGTTGTTTTAAAGTCCCAATCAGTCCTGATGATCCTGATGGAATTTTCCAGCCTGCTCCCATGATTGTTATTTTGAAGACTCCATCCAGGTAGGGCGAAATCTCGCGCCATGCGTGTGAACATTGCCCCTTTGGTACCTTCCATGCAAACCAACGCTGCGACAAATTCAAGATCGTCTCCAAAAGAGGAACCACAAAACCATCGGACAACACCCTCTGCGGCACTGTTTTTTCACTCGAAAGGCCAAGGAACAGCTGCGCGCAGCGCTGCGAGCAGCAATGAAGGAGGGGAGATGCATTTTCATTGAAGTGGGAGCGACATGACCGTGGCTGAAATGGCTGAAGTGGGTATCCAGAGAGCAAGACATTTGGGCGGGTCAGCAGACCCAAGATTCTTTTCGGCGAAAAACAACTGTATTTTGTTTTGGGGGGGGCCCTGAATTGTGGCAGCATTAATGTTATTGATTTTCAAGGACACCCCGTGCTAAACGGCAGATCACAAGAATCACAACACGGCATACATAAAGAGGAGGAGATGACCTGGCTGTTCACATGTGCCTTTGGTCATGATACCGGCATAAATTGGTTCGATCCTTGAGTGAAGAGACTAGACTACCTGGGAGGTCATGATCTTAGGGATTTGTGTCTCCACGTTCCTTCCCGGACCTCTGCCGTCCGACTGTCCTTCCCGCACGTCTGCGGAACCGGGAATCTGAACTTTTTCCCAAGGAATGCTGATCGATCTGATTGGCACAGCAGACGAGTGTTTTGTAGAAAGGGATTTCTCCACAAGGATTCTCATTGAGAAAGAAACCCATATGAGACCGTCAACGCTGTTTTATTTAGGATCACTTGGTCGGACCTTCGGACATGTGTCAAAATTCATCAAAGTCATCAAATAGGTTCGCCCAACAGAATTCTTTTCTGGCCAAAGCAGCAACAACCTTGGGGAGTTTCTGTCGTTTCATATCAGATTAGATCCATGAAACTTTCTGGAACCTATTCTTGGCTGGAACGAGAAAAGCTTTGATAGATGGTCACCCCACTGAATCGACGTGACCCTACAGCCACACGACCACTGCAGGACCTGGAATTCCGGGGCTCTACGCAGGAACAGGAACAGAAGGAGCAGCAACGTCTGCAGCAGGTGGCACAAAGCCTCGGCGGCGGCGCTGCACCTCGGCGCCAGACATGGCGGGTGTGTATTTTAGGCAGGCACCCTGATCCAATGGATAGACTGGCACTGGTCCATTTTGACTTCTTTCAGCAGGTCGTTGACTGGGAGGTCTCCCGATGCTCTCGCCGTTGAAACCGTGCGGTTGAAACCGGGTGGCCATGGCACCGGGTCGGCTGGACACGCGCGGACCGTTCGTTGGAAACAGGTTTTTCGTCCTCGTCTTCAGTCATGGGAAGTCTTTTTGATTCACTTGCCTTCCGGGTTCTATGCCTTCTCTTCATCCGATTGAATGGTGGCAATGGTGGAAGAACTTCAAAAGCTCCTTTTGTTTTTGGCGGACCTTGTGGCATGCGCCCGCCCAACTTCTCCCTCATTGGTCCCCCTTATTCAAACACCCCACGTCTCCGCGCGCGTCCGACCACGTGGGGCCGCGCGTCCAACCGCTGTCGCCGGGGCGCCGAGGAGGGCGGCGGCGAGTTCAGCCGCGCCGAGCTGCGGCTCCGCGAGGCGCGGCACAGCTCCAGCGCCTCGCAGGCGGGGGGGCCGCGTGGTTGGATGGGGCGGGGCGGGTTTGGGGGAGTTTTGGAGAAAAGATGTGGAGAAGATGCCCCTATAGGACATATGACATGTGCAAAAAGGAAAGTTGAAAGAAGATTGAGAATATACATGTTTTAAACAACTCTTGGGGCTCTTGGGATCTTTGGAAGATGAGATTTTGTGCTGTGAGACTTGCGGCGTATGGATCCTATGGCTCATATTATGGCTCTGATGGTGGGCGTGAGATGGCGTGAGTGTGTCGGTCCTTCAACTCATTTGAACTCCCAGCCAAAGCGACTCCGCGTTTGAGTCCACAGAAAGATCCGCACACTCTTTTGCAGAGACTTCCAGCAACGAATCCATCACAAGCTTCCAAAAAAGCTTCCAAAATGGATGACTCCGAACTCGTGGGGGAAAGTACCAATCTCAAAAAACCAATTCCTCCACCAGGGCTGTCTATATAGTTAATATTATAATATATACCCTAGACTTCCAAGACCCTTAAAAAAAATAATTGACCTGGTTTTTGTAGTGTAGAATTAGAATCCTTAGTTGATTCGGGTTTCAGCCTATTAATGGTTGTTGGAAGCCTAGGGTATAGCTCCTTAGAGTTGATTCGGGGTCTCCCTTCACCACCCAGGCCCTGGCACTCTTCGATCTTGGGGACCCTCAGGAAGCGGCGGCCCGACGAGCGGCACTGGTGGCGGAGGAGGCGGACTTGGAGGATGTGGCATTGGGGCTCCTCGCCAGGAAGTTGTGGGGGCTTGGGGCAGGTGTAGCTGGGGTGAGCTAGCTCAGGTACATGGTTGATGAATAGTAGATGGGATCCGGATCCATCATGATGGAGAGGTTTTACATGGGTTTTTGGGTTTTACCATCCCAAATTGGGGTGGGTTTGATTCGTCGACTTGACCATAACCGACCAGTGGATGAGCTGCCGGCGCCGCGTCGAGCGTGGGGGGGAGCTGCTCGGGATACCCCACGAGCTGCTGGGAACAGCCTGGTTGAATTGAACAGCTGAAGCGACAGGATGGTCCTCGGAAACTGAGGGAGAAGCGTACCAGGACTGTCGGGGTCTCCAATAGACTGCCCTACTGGCTTCCATCGGACACCCGACAGGACGACCCTGGTAGTGTGAGTGAGGTGCTGTGATTTAGATGGTGATTTTAAAGAACTACGGATCAGTGTACTGGATTCATTGCGGTTCAGAGTGTTTGGTGGAGTGGAACCTATGGGGAAATCATGGATCTAAACGATCGCTCTCCACTGAGAATTGACATGAAAAAAAACTGCATCCCACTTGACACCAAGGCTGAAACGAGAACGAAAGGACAGAGGACCCATTCCGAAAGAAGGTTTTCTTCTCCCTATAGAAGTCCAAAGACTATCATAATTAGTATGGTCCCGAAATTATAGTATAAGAAATGATTGTTCCGAAGACTCTAATTCAGAACCATAATTACAAGTACGTTCCCAAAATTCAGGTCCCCAGACATCGCTAGACCCTTCGCCCTTGGTCTTTCGGTGCGCTTCGGCGAAGACGTCGTTCGCACCGGGGTGAACGCGGCAGGAGCACCAGACCGGCTGAACGGATCTTCCAACAGATCTCGGCTATAGCAAGAAGATTTGCTCCACCCAGTGGGGGGGGTATCCACCACTTGGGATTTACCTAGCCAACCTCTTAAAGGTCTTACTCATACTCGTCTTCATCCCTCCTCACAAAGAAGTTTCGGTGCCGTGTTGGCCCCACCGATCGTTTGGCGCCGTCGCCATGGCGGCTCCCGTGGCCGTGGCGGTGTGGACCATGGGCGGCGAGCGCGTGGCGACGGTGGAGTGCCCGGGCGAGAGCACCGTGCGGTGGCTGAAGCGCGAGAGCCACGGCGAGAGCCACGGGACGGGACGGGAGGCGAAGGGATGAGATTCGGATGACTTCGGTAGAGATAAGCAAGGTGAAGGTGAAGGGGCGGCAAAGGCAGACTGTATGGTTTTGTTCAAAGGCATGTGTTTTGGGTGCAGCCTTCTTGACTTCGCGAACGGAAGCGGAATAGACCTTCATTTCACGTGTTTGAGGGTTCAATCTTCTTGAAATGGAACATGCACCCCTCAAAAGACCTCCTTGCCTGCTGCAAAAGGAGTTGGCCTCTTGGAAGGATAGGTGGTGTGTTCACTTCAGTTCTTCAAGAGTTCCTGTTCATGGACATACTCTGAAAGAAGGGAGGACACAGACTCATACACATCGTAATATCGTACTAATGAGTATATCAATACCTGGATCCTCCTTTGGGCGGAAAAAAGTGCCGGACTGAAGATCTGGGTATAACATAAAGACCAACCGAACTTCCTCCATATGGGAACCTTCCGCACCTGCTGAGATGACCCCCCTCATCTTCTCAGGATCGCTGCTCAGGCCGAGTGGACACGTGCCACGGCTTCACCTGACGCGGTGGTGGAACTGATGCAGCTGACGCACGAGACGCTGGGGGTTTTGCACGATGCGCGGCAGTTGAAGGACCTCGGGTTGAAGTCATTGGAGCTTCAAGTGGTGCCTTGGACCATGGTTGAAGTGGTTGAGTGGGTGAGTAATGTAGACTCTTATGGATGACATTTCAACCTCTATATAGCATGAAGAGGTGCTTTTCAAGCCTATTTTTTGCTCATCAAGAGTCCACCCACCTGGACCATCCAATGGGGTGTCCGTTTTCTGAAGATTGCCAAATAGTGTAGGGTGTGTCTTTTGGAAGTCGAAGGCCAATGGGGACAGTCCTCGTGCATCACGGTGGTTTTCAGGAAGTGGAAGAGTTGCGACTGGAAGAGGAAGACCATGAGACCACTTCCATGCGAGTCTTTCTCAGAGAGTATATAAACTTGTTGAGAAAAGAGTCATGCAACATGCTACAAGCTCCACATGGACTAGACCGTTGCCCACAGCCATCCGAAGGAAGAAACACGAGGATTCCACCATGAGAATGGCAATGGAGGACGACCACCTCCAGCGTCCCCACAGGTGGTGTTGTTATGAACAAATCACTGGATGACCTACTGGTAGTGGCTGGCACAGCCGGCACATGAGGTTTGGAACAGCTTCCGCACCATTGCCAGCGAGTACTACACCAAGCTCCGCCATGCACGGCCAGGCAAGTCCTTCGCTGCCGCTGGCTTAGAGCTGCAGGGATTGAAGACCCTCTGCAGTGTGATGCGGGAGGTCTTTCTGAAGGAGAGGACCTCGATGTGGTCCGGTTCATCTAGGAATTGGCAAGGGGCAGGCTACAGGAAACCAGGTTTTTTCACACCAGTTTCCTGTAGGTTTGGAACTAAGACCGATTCTGGGAGGCTGAGGAACAGGGGGTCAGGACCTCTTGAACAAAGTGCAGTGAAGTGCAGACCTACAAGATGGATATCTGGCCTCCAAGGAGGGATTGACATTTGCCACTGCTGCTGGGTCATTGATTTTGTAGCTTCTGGCACTAGCGGGCGTCGCCCACAGAAGGTGTGAAAGTCCCAAAAAGGATTTAGAACGATTTTCCCGAAGCTCGAGCCTTTGTAGGTTCCTTTTCTTGTTTCGCTTCGTTTGCTCGTTGTCCTGTTCTCTAACTCGTCGATCTGGATGGTCCAAATTTCAATCAAAGTACCCTTGCACTCCGACGAACAGTGTCACACGGAAGTAGATAACAATACCATATGGCTGTGGTTCAAAACCCGGAGCGCCAGGTAGTCTATTCTGTTCATTTTGGGTGGTCAAGCAGAAAACTCCCCCGGCTTGACCCACAGCCATATGACCCCCCTTTGTGCCAAGGTCTCGCATGGCCTTCCATATCTTACATGACCCAGACACTCCATGTATATATGCAATATATATATATAATATATGCCTACATTGACCCCAGGTCAACCACTCAATGTAGGCATATATGGCAGTCCCATTAGTCGCGTCTGAGTGAAATCAAGTCGTCGATCACCTCGCGGTACCCTGCGATCGACGCGATCGACCTGACCGCTGGCCTGCACCGCTGACCTGACCAACGTGACCCACGCTGGTCGACCATGGCTCAATCCGAAAGACACAGGTAGAGCTCCCCGGTGTTTCTTTGGGAAAAGCTGATCTTTGGCAGACTCGGTGTGGTCAACGATGACTGTTTGTCCACGAGGTGCAAAGCGGGCCTAGAGTGACCATGGTCTCAACTCCAGAGCAGAGTCACCTGACCTTTTTCAACTCTTCAAAATAGCCCTTTCACCACAAACACTGCAGGAGCCCTTGCTCTTGGAGCTTGAGCCGCCGCTGTGCCTAGCGGGGAATCTGGCAGGTTCGTTGAAGCAGTTGACATTGATCTTCGACACCTGCGGCGATCCGCCTTCCTCACGGTATTTGTTTCTGGGGAACTATGTCCATCTGGGGACGCTTGAAATGCGAACGTGCTGCGAATTGGTCTCCAGTGATTGGGACATGTCGGACAAATGGCCTCAGACAACAGCTGTTTGGAACGGTCATATATTTGCCGATTCACTTGGAGAGTGCTTCGTTCAGGGGTCAATGCAATGTATTATACCTGGACCATCCAGTTGGTGTCTCCAATTGACTATCCTACAAGTCTTGGTGTCTACTCAGCCAGGCCCAAAACGGCGAACGCCTTGGCATCTCCAGACCACGATCGACTCCGCCCCACACGCGTCCCGCTCGATTGGGATGGTCCGACGTTCGGGACCTTGGTCCTGCGTTCCTGAGTCACATGGATTGGATGGTGCCATTCACCTCCATGATTCTTTCACGGAGTGTATTGCTATAACTTCTATAGTCCTTATAGGGCTCCAACCACCTGAGAGGATGGTTGGGGTGGATGACAGGGGGGTCTAACCACGGAACCTGAGGATATGAGTGGTTGGAGCCCTAGGCCTAGGGAGTGGCGGTGAACAAGGTGTTTTCACACGTGACGTGTTGGGTCGAACGTGACTGAACGGGTCGTCCGGCCTCGAGAGGTGCGGACGTGTGGACCCGAGTGTCTGGGGTGGACGGTGCCCGGACGGTGCCCGGACGCCCACTTACGGATCTTCAGACAGGACACCCCAACAGGATAGTCCAGGTATATACCAGAACCAGAACTAGAAAGGGATGATCAAATTTCATGTCAGTGACCCAAGTGTGGGGATTTTCTGGTCCATTCCAGGCGAGATTTTCTGTATGAATGTTCAAATTTATGTGTGATACTGCTCAGTACTTCGTTGCTGGGATTCAACCGGTGTCGAAATTGACAGGAAGAGCTCCCTTGAGACCTTCACGCTGCTACTGCTCTGCAAGTACTTATGGCCCCAGGAGGTCTTCATCTTGCGCGGAAAGCACGAGGATGCCAGCATCTCGCGGTCCTATGGCTTTTACGAGGAGAGAAGACGGGACACAGAGCGCAGCCCGATCTCGCGCAGCATTTTTCATTGGGTGATCACTCAGGCCACTTTGGCCATTTCGTTGAATTAGGAACATGCTTAACCAGCTCTGTGGCCGTGGAACACGGACTGCCATATACACGAATGGTCATCAGAGCGAAGTCGTGCCTCCGAAGTCTGGTGAAGTGAACAAAGAGAGCAGAGAGCAACCAAGTGATGGTAAATAGGACCCGTCACCTGGGATACCCAACTGATAGTCGAACTGGGGTCCTTCAAGCTCTGTTGCTCAAAGCTTTGGGGATTCTTCTGAGACTGAACAACTTGGGGATCCCTGAATTCGCCTCGACGGAGAAACTCTTTTTCGA